TCAATTTGTGAAACTTCTTGCCTAGGCATGGTCAGAATTTATTATCGACAAATTAAAACCCTTTTGCATTGGTACAAGCTTCTGTAGAATCATACAGCTATCAAGATGTAGCTCACATTGCCTATTATTGATAATTTGTAATTATGACCTGTCAAAAAAATTAAAAGAAAAATTTGTGCATAATTCTTTATAGATCAAATCGTCATGAGTTCTGGTGTTAAACAATATTTTGTAGTTTATTTTAAACAAACTTCAGAAGATTCTGTTTGGGTTGGGCTGCAAGTAAACAAATGTCATTTTGGGTTTATTGCAGCCACGGTGAAATTATTGCTTTGTAACCATCTAGAATTTAATAATTATTAACTGAGGACAATTTGGTCTTTTGTTCTCTCTTTCTCTCTTTTAATAGTATTACTCTCTTAAATATTTATATTTCTTGAAACCAGTTACCCGTTTGTCATTTTACTAGTGTTGACTGGGGACTACAAATGCAGGTGGAGGACATGTTGAAAAGAAGTTTCGCCGAATTCCATGCTCAGAAGAAACTTCCTGAACAGCAACAACTTCTGATGCGAAAGCTTGCTCAACCAATAAAAGCTATCGAGTAAGTTTAAGAATAGTAGAATCTTGATTAATTTGACAATTAATGTTTTTCACTCAAGGAATTGGTGCAGGTTCTCTTATGTGCTAGAACCCAGAAGACATTTTGTATCTTCAACTGTCATTACCCTTTACTTATATTGTTATAAAGTACAATGACAGATTTTATTTTCCTGTTTTACATCTTTGATACGAAGTGATATGCAACGGTTATATGTCTATGGAAACTTGATGGTTTTTGGCTTTATATCAAAATGTGATTTTTGTCAGATTTGCTTGTCCTAGATGATGTGATTGGATGACTTTTACTTTGCCATCTTGGTTACATTGGGCAAAATATCCTTAGTCTATGTATTCTTCTTGATTAGCATGATTTTATAAATAAACAAATGGTTGTTTAGGTTTTTCAAACACCAAAATAACAGTATATCGTTAATACATCAAAAGAAAGAGAAGGACCAGCAGAAATTTTTACAGCAAAAAATAAAGAAGCATGTACGTCTAATAATAGAAGTTTCAGCCCTTGTTGAGTATTTTTCCATGACCAGGCTGTTTTCATATCACATGTTGTGAAGTGGGGTAGATGACTTGGCTTGTAAAGGTTTGATTATGCCATTGATCATCATGGATGTGAAAGGACTATTGTCAAGTGTGTTGATAGTACTCATGAGCAACTGCCTCATGTTTGCCTTTGTCATCTCTTGTTTAAATTATTTTCATGCTGAATCCCTGCTCTATAATTACGTTTCAATTATTAATCATCTGTGATTTTATAGCTAATCAAGCATCACTGTTTCTATATAGATGTATTAAAGGTGAACCGTCAATTGAGGAGTACTATGAGATGTACTCAGAAGCTGAGAAGTATAACAACCAGATAACTGAGGCAATTAGGCAGTCACATTGTGCCCAGCAATTTCTAACACATGGAAGGGTGGTAGTTGTGAAATCAGAATCTGTGAGTTCTTACATATCGTTTTTAAGTGTATCTCCTTACAGCCTTCTATGTCAACTAGGATTCTAGGATTTGTTTACATATTTATTTATTTTTTAATTTTTTTCATTTATGGACCTAATTATTAGTTTGGCCTTTTGAATGATTTAGTAATATGCTTCTAGCCTGCATTAAGTATTTCTGTTGGTAAAGATATTTGTTCTTAAATGAATTTTCTTGATGACTGATGTTTAATCTCACTAAGCGTTCCTGTTCTGGAGCTGGAACTAGTCTGAAGGGGCAAACTTTGATACTATCATCTCATGTGGTGGGTTGGTTTTAGATACAATGATTTTGTTATGTCAGGACAAAGAATGAGAGAATTGTGATTATTAAGTTTAATGGCCAGTAATTTCTTAGTTCAGTTTTCTATGCCCTCTGATTTACCTTATACGAGGAAAAAAGCAAGATGATATTTTTTTGTCGGCTGCTCGTACTTTAATTATACTGTAGTTGATAGTGACTGTGAAAAGTTGTTTCAGTTCAACTGTTCTTTTATAGTTATCGCTGCTAAACTCATATCATTGATTATTCACAGGCTCAAGACCACTTGTTGGGAGCTATTGTGAAAGCAACAACTTCAGGCAGTAATAAGCAGTACATAGTTTTGGTGCTGAAACCTGATGTACCATCAACAACACAGACTCCCTTGGAGAAAAAAGGCGGGAATTTCCCACAAGGTTATTTTATGGTACCAAAATCAAAACGTGGTCTCGAAGATGATGGGTATTTTGCTGCTCCTACTTCTCGTAAAGGCTCAGGGGCCATCAACATAGAACTACCACACCATGGTGCTGCTGCTGGAGTGAGTTATGAGGTCAGAGCAATTGATAGTAAAGAGCTACTATGTATATGCAAGCAGAAGATAAAGATTGACCAAGTTCGGCTTCTTGAAGATGGCAGCAGTGCTGCCTTCTCAACAACAGTTCAGCAGCTACTGGATCTGAAATCTGGTGGAAATAAATATCCTCAAGCCGTTGATCCAGTAAAAGGTATGGCAATTTATTGATGAGTGTAATTATTGATTTTTGGATGAAATACATATATTCTTGCTGAATATGAAGCCAATTATGCTTGTAAGATCTTATTGAGACCTTTGTTTTGGCTTGTGGAATGACACAAGGAGATAAAAAAGCTTTAAACAGTTTCTTGTCTCTGGTTTTTCTTTTTGGGATAGGGTTGGTATAAGTAGTCCCATCTTCCCCTTAAGATTTGCCTTGGTGATATTGTTTTAGATTTGAAGCTGAAAGACATGGAACTAGTGGAAGCATGGTACAAATGGAATAGCCTAAGGGAAAAGATGGAAACAAATAAGTGTCACGATTGTATAAAATTGGAGGAGCACCTTAAATTGGCCAAAGAGATTAAGAGACATAAAGAGGAAGTTAACGCTTTAAAGTTTCAAATGTCAGATGAAGCTCTTCAACAGATGCCAGATTTTCAGGGACGTGTAAGTTTTTGTAATGTCGGCAATGGTTCTTCTTTTACTGGTGGTAATCATCTCATGGTTCATTTGCATTACTTCCTCTGAATATTTTAAGCTTTCTTGCAGATAGATGTTCTGAAGGAAATTGGTTGTATTGATGAGGATCTTGTAGTTCAAATTAAAGGTCGTGTTGCTTGTGAGATGAACTCAGGGGAGGAGTTGATATGCACAGAGTGTTTGTTTGAGAATCAACTGGATGACCTGGAACCAGAAGAAGCCGTAGCTATAATGTCTGCTTTCGTGTTTCAGCAGAAGAATACTTCTGAACCGTCTCTCACTCCTGAACTTTCTGAGGCGAAGCAAAGGTTAGATTCTTTATTCATTCCTACTTTTGTTCTCTCTACATCTATAGTATCTTATCGTTGGTTTTTCATTACACTGTTAATAATGCATTATATTTATCTGCTATCTAAATTGGTGTAATGATTTTTCATTCTAATCCTATTTGTTATTAACTCCAGATTGTACAATACGGCCATAAGACTTGGGGAGCTCCAAGCCCATTTCAAACTACAGATTGATCCTGTGGAGTATGCCCGAGAAAATCTCAAATTTGGTCTTGTTGAAGTGGTTTACGAATGGGCAAAGGTTTTCTTCTTGCAAACACCTTGTAATCTAGTCAGAGCCTTTATATATGGTTTGTCATCTTACACACATCTTCTTTGTGGCAGGGTACACCATTTGCAGATATCTGTGAGCTTACAGATGTTCCTGAAGGTATGATAGTTCGGACCATCGTCAGGTTGGATGAAACCTGCCGCGAATTCAGAAATGCTGCAGCAATTATGGGTAATTCTGCGCTTTACAAGAAGATGGAAACTGCTTCTAATGCAATAAAGCGCGACATTGTGTTCGCAGCCAGTTTGTACATTACTGGAGTTTAATTTTGCCACACTTTTCCTTCCAGGGAACATAATTTTCTTCTTTTACTAAAGAGTGGCTGGCTTGATGTTCTGAAATTCAATAGCTTCTCAAATGTTTAGTAGAGTGTTCCTCTTTAGTTTGTCTCCATGAATAGTCAAGAGCAAAGGTCGAAACTTTGTAATATTTCAATACAAAGTTATATGACAGAAGATGAATTAAACAGTAAAAGTGATGAGTTTGACTTTTATATGTGTTCTTCTATTTATTTTTTGTCACATTATTTTGTATATAAATTTTTGTAAGATTTTTTTGTACACGTAAAATATTACTCTTTCAAGAACAACTCAATGAGAGGTGGTTTTACATGTTTCTCTACAACAATTTCTTCGTTCAGAAATACTTACACAATTGCTCTTTTACACAGATTTATTTTTTAACCCTAAGAGATAATTAAGTCTTTAAGCATTTCACCGATTTTTGGAAGGTACTAAAAATTCTTCCATTTAAAGGGGCTTTGAAATTTTTATTTTTTATTTTTTTTAAATGTTTTTAATTATTTTAGAAAATGCTACAAAGTGACATTAGATGTACAATTTTAGGTTTTGTTTTTTATTTGAACATCTACGATTTAAGTAGGAGTAATAGCCGTGAGTTGTTGTATCAATCTTTTCTAAAAATTAATTGAAATACGTGTAAAGTTAGATACTTGGGTTAAAATGTGAAAAAGGAATGAATTTAACCCAGCATTTGCATTTTAAATTATATTGAGGTGTTTCATTGAATATAGAATAGTCCAAGTTTTTATTCCTTTTGTTTTTTCAAAAATAAATAATTAAATATTTTTTAAAAGAAAAAAATTAGATATGGAGGTGGACATGAGTGTTGAGGTTTCCAGTTTCCTATGCAACCAAGGGGTGATTTTAAAAAAATAAAAAATAAAAAAGGTGGATAATATTATCCTTAAGCCATAAATATAAATTATCCCATGCATTAGTCAATGACATGAACAATTCAAAGTTGATATCCACATTTATTGATAACCAATAATGTTGAATATGCCAAATAATACAAACCCCCATCCCGGCGGAAGAAGAATAATGATATTATTGTTCAGTGATCCTTGATTTGAATTGTCACTAAACATCTCTTAGCAATAATTGAAGAGATTCTACAGAAACTATGACAAAGATGCTGAACCAACCATATCCATCTATGGGCATGTCCAAGAGTGGCTGGTTGTGGGGCTTGTTCCCCCTCCCTGTATTTTTCTCCCTCTTCTATACAATTACTGGGTTTGCCAAAAAAGAAAAAAAAAATGTTTTACCCAATTCTAAACTACAACTACAAAACTGCTGACTCCTGTTTCAAACCCTATTCTTTACCCTAAAAGATAGGTTAATGATACCAACATTTATTGGATGGAATTTAAGGAATAGACCAACCAAAAACTTGTAAAGATATTACTTCTATAGCTCGGTGTTGGTGTTGGGTCGACGATATGGCATATATTTGTGATCTTTGGAAGCATTTTTCCTTCTTTTCTTCTCAATGAAGGATTCAAGCTTGCCAGATGCCTGATCATATCAAATAATTTATTATTCCGCTAAAACAGGTTGTCACTGGAATAATTAACATACCTGAGAAAATCATAAGAAAAGTCAAATGTGTACCTTGAGTTTGTTATATTTCTCAACAAGTCTTTGCTTCCGGATTTCAGCTGAAAAGACAAAACAGAGTAAGCTTTCAAATAACTTTTGCCATGTTCATGTTTATTTGTTTAGGAAACATGTGAACAGAATCTATAAACACAACCGCAAAAAATATAAACTTTAAAGCATGACTTGTGTGATTTACAGCAACAGTATCACGTAAAAATGAGAAAATAATAATAATACTGATTAGTCCAAACCACTATAATTAGCAATCTCCTTGTAGTTAAGATAAAAATCATCCACACAACTATAAGTGCCATCAGCAACACCAAGACTAATACTTGCAACACGAGTACCCCAACCATAAATACCAATTTTCCACTGTCATCAACGATCTTTTGGTTTGAATAAACAAATAATTGCACATCCTCCTATTATGGTAACAGTAATCACTAAACCTCAACAATCTTATTCAGAATAATGAACCACAAACACAACGATTAGCTAAAGAAGTGGCTCCAAAATCAACTCAACCATGGTAAGGGCTTGCTAAAAACGACCACGACTCCAATTCCAGGAAACCCAATACAAGTATATCATCTTATGGAAATATACAAGAAGCATACTAATTATATTTCAAGACATCAGGTAAGTACTTGGCAGAAGCACAAAAGATACTATCAAACGAGAAGTAGAAAGAGGAAGAGGAAGTGGGAGAGAATGACAACATTACATTTTTTAAGATAGAAGGGTCGTTTCCCATGTATTGCAGCTTCTCTCTCTTTATTCTTGTGCTCAGAAAGTATTGCAGCATCACTACTCTTTGCTGTTTCAAACTTTAATTGTTTGTCCTGATAAAACATGGAAAAAGAAGAAGAAACTGTATACATAAGATGCCTCACTATGCTGGTGTGGTACATTAAGGTTTAAAAGAATATATTAACAATAAATCAGATATTGAACTATTCAGACTGAAAATTTCTTCCAATAAAGAAAAGACTTACAATCCAGGATACATGCTTCTTCAATTCCTCAATACATTCGGGTCATTTGTTTCTTCAATTGCTCTTCAGTTCCTATTACCTCAGAAAATAATTGTGGGAAGGTAAAAAGAAGAGGAAACGACATTAAAAAAAATCTCCATGGTCATGATTTAAGAAATACCTCTTTTTCAGCAGGAAGATTATTTTCAAAAAGGAAATCATATCTCTTCCTAAACCTACAGATCCAAGCACATATCATTATATAACAGAGTATAGAACTGATACAACATTAAAAACTAATGTGATGAGATTGATACAAACCACACGCATAAATTGTGTGCACACGCACACGCACACGCACACGCACACGCACACACACACACACACACACACACACAGATATTATATAGAGAGAGAGAGAGAGAGAGAGAGAGAGACAAAGGCTTATCCAGAACTGGTACAACATTAACAACTATGTGAGGAAATTGATACAAAAACCAGATGCATAAAATACGCTTGCGCACGTACACCACACACACCCACACACACACACACATATATAGATATAGATAGAGAGAGAGAGAGAGAGAGAGAGAGAGAGGAGAGAGAGAGGCTTATCCACCCACACACACACACACATATAGACACAAAAGAGAGAGAGAGAGGAAGGCTTACCATCAACATCGAGGTTACCACACAGTGATTCAAAACGAGGGTCACGTACCACCTGATAAAAGCAATTAATTTATTCCAACCATATTTCAAATAATTACAATAAAATAAGCATGAGCCACTAGTATTTTGGTAGCTTTTTGAAAAGAAGAGCACTATGATTTTCCTAGATGTATGTTTTCAAGTATGAAATTCAAATGAAGCAAAAAGGAAAGATGGTTCTTGACAAAAAGTAACGGATGAAATTGATATAACAAGAGCATACTGGAGATCTAATGCTCAAGTTTCTTAACTTTAGATTTGAAAAATGTCGAAAGCAATAAATAAACAACCATCTGTCTAATCCTCTAAATAATATGAACTCGAGAATAAGACAAATCCCATGCTTCACTTACAACAATTAGCATTTAGAACTTCGAGCCATCTATTCTATCAAATAAAAAAAGTATGATCAAACTAAAATATAAGCATCGGCGAGATATTAATGAGAAAGGAAAAACAGAGAAAATGCTATTCGATTGGCTACTGTGGCATATTCTTCAATATAAAAGCCACTCACAACCAAATAGGCCTTGTAAGTAGATAATTAACATAAAATTAACAAATTAAACCATCTAGCATTAAAATTACAAAAAGAAAGCAAAATAGAAATAATCCTTCATAACTGAACCGATTGAAAACATACTTTTTTAGGAGCTTGACACCTCTCTAAACCGACTCACGGGCTTCTTCGCACTAACCTCCATTGGCCTTCACACCATAACCCACAACCACCATCAACTCCCTACATGAAATGAATATTTAAAAAATTAAAGCTCTAAATAAATAAACTCATAAAACCTGTTCTTGTTTGCTCTACCGGACCTTTCTTGATTTTGCTTTTGGTAAACCAAATGCGAACCATCCGAGCGTGTTTTTTTTTGCAGGTCCCCAAATGTAACTTCAGCCAGTTCACGCTCTATCTCCTCCTCCTGTTACCAAAGATTAAAAAAAAAAAAAAAAATCAATAGCATAAACTGTTTTATAGAAATATAAAAAAAAAAAAAAACTAGCTTTCAACTCACACTTCTGAAGAAGAAGAATGGTTTTGTAATCTTCTCCATTGGTTTCTTCCAAATGGGTTTTGCTTGAGCTAGCAGTGACTTTACTTTTCTCCTCATTTTGAGCTTTAAAAAAACCTAATTGGTAGTCAAGAAATCTTTTCAAATACTAGCAATACATCCTCAAAGTTTAACAGATCTGTGAAAAGACACAAACAACTCGCCATACTTTGTCTTTCTAAACACATCAAAACAAACATGAATTCTGTGATCAACAAATTCGTCTACCGATTTTGTTAAAATAATACACCAAATTCGTTTCTACAACTAGTACACATTCAATTTTAAGCATAATCATTAAAAAAAAAAAAAAAAAAAAAAAGAATCAACAAAACAATTTACCCGTTAAAAAACCAGCCGATAACCCAGATTGAAACCAAAAAAAAAAAAAAAACCAGAATTTTCTCCGTTTCCTATCAGCTCTACCAAAAAAAATATCCATCACATTTTTTTTCTTATTTGCCCATCACCTCTCCTGATAAATTCAAATTTTTTCTTATCTTCACCATATCTCTCCACGTGCTCCACTATCCACCAAATCCATTCATCTCTTCCCCCATCACCTCCACATTCATGGCTGGCTTTTACCAAACAACACAAAGTAAAAAAAAAAAAATATATAATTAAACCAAAATGTCACAACCTCAATTAAACAGCCACGAAAAGACCACAAAAGACTGCCTATTCAGACGAACGACGAAGAGCGGATACCTTATCGAGATGAAGAAGACGATTGAGTTCGACGAGAGGAGCTGAGGTAGACAACACGGACAGAAGAGCTGTGACAACGACGGCTGACCGCTGGAGCGACAATGAGGAGAAGAAGAAGTTTTCAAATTCGAGTTCTTGTCGTTCGGGTTACGGGTTTCTCTCACTTGTAAAATCTTTAAGCTTCCACGTGTCAGCCTAACAACTCAGACACAAAAACAAATTTGCTTAAGTCGAGTAACGCACAATATTAAAGTCCACTTGCAATTAATTTTAAGTAAATAAATAAATAACACTATGATTAATTAAAAAATATTTAAATTAATTAATACATTAATTTTTCTTCCGGTGGAAAAACCTAGTTAACCGACCAGTTTGACACTTTCTTGAACCAAAACAGTAACCAATTCATGGAAAGTTAAATCGAAATTGGACCAATTTTTTTACTTGAACCGATTTGTATCAATCGATTACTTCTGGTTTGGTTGACCATTTTAAACCGACTTTTTTATTTCCAACCAACAAGGCAATTTAACAATTTTTAGTGAGTTTTAAATAAAATGCACTAAAGAAGCAAAGAAAGAATCAACCAAAGATAGATAAGGTTAGGGTTTAGTTTAGACTTTAGACTTTTAGAGTAAAAACCGGCTTAGAAATCCGGTTTTGGTTAACCGGTTTACATTATTGGTTGAATTGAAAAAACCGTTTTTCGATTAGGTTTTGGTTTGGTTCATTCGGTTTGGAATTTTTTTTTTTTTTTCCAACCCTACCAACTTTGATCTAAATTAACTTCAAATCATTATGCTAATTATTTCTTAATTTCATTTTAACAATATATTATTCAATCTGAACCCTACAAATGTCTCAATCACAAGATGAATCATCGCACAGTGACACGTAAATGGCCCTAAAATTCACTCTATGTGGCGGAGCGTAGGTGATCGCAACCCTCCTAAAGTTGGTGATTCGAGATTATATGAATTTTTTGTTGCATGAAGCCTTTCAGTTTCAGCCTCCACATTGCAAGCGCTGGCTACTCCAAAATTTTGAGCTCCTCTCTCTATCTGAAACACAAAAACAATCACATTTTTCAATTTATTTTGTGTTTCGGTTCTTCATCAATCATGCCTGGCAGCTGGGATGCTCGTCTGATGTAAGTGTTTTTTTTTTTTTTTTTTTTTTTTCAATATATGAGGACTATTTGATGTTAGTTTTTGTTTATTGTTTTTTATTATTCTTTCTTTTTTGCAGGTTTGAACTGTATTTATTCGATTATCTAAGAAAGAATAACATGCATCAAACGGCTGAGATTTTCTTCAGAGAGGCCAATCTTTCATTTGATCCAGTATTCCTACTTGTAATATTATTACCTTCTTTTTTTAATTGAAAAAAAAATTCTTTTAAATTCATTTCACAGAATTTTATGTTAATTTGTTTTTATTTATTTGATGGTTCTGTGTGTGAACTTTGCTGCTTATGTTGATTGTAAGTTTTAACTAATTTTGATAATTAATGATAATATAATGAAGAGTGACTATTCTTGATTTCCTCCTCTTGTGTAGTTTAATTACAGCTTTTTGGGGGAAATTTTGAAACATTGAGTCTACTAAATTGCAATTATAACTGAATTAATTTAAGGATTTATGATTTATAACAGTAAAATGATGATAATTGGTAATTTTCGCATCTTAATTACTTAATTGTGCTATCGCTTTCTTAATTAATTGGAACTTCAATTGTTTGATAAAAACTGTTTTTTTTATTTAATTTTTTAGCATGATGTTCCTGATGGGTTTTTGCACGATGGTGGTCGTTTTTCTATGACATGTTTACATCACGCACGCTGACGAATTGTGGTTCCGAGGAGAGCCCTCAAATATGGTGCTAGTTTTATCGGTCTTTTCTTTTTTTTTTTTTTTTTTTTTTTTTTTTTTGTGGTTCATTTCTTTATAAATCTAAATTCCACCATGTTTTTGGATTCATTTTTTAATTCTTTGGTCTGTAATTAGGTTGAGCAAACGATGGAAGCAATGCAACAGCGTGATCCTTCTCCATCAAGACAGTATGTAATGAATGAGCAAACAATTTCATGCTTGCTAGCTGGTGCTGATTCTTGTATGTTCCCTTGCACCTAAATCAGCCAATTTGGTTCTGTTCAAGTGGATCAGTAAAGATCTTTTTATTGTATTAATTGTTATTTTTCTTTTATCAATCATTATATATTTATGGGTATGTATATGGGTAATCAATACGATGCTTTACATGTAAATCATATAAACTGCACTTAATGTTTATATTTGTAGGGTTCAACGCGGGGGACAATGCAATTGAGCCAATGAGGTTCCCTTTAATCGTGAGTATTATTTTAAGATTCAATTTCAAATTTCTTTGTAAGGAAATTTCTGTGTCAAATGTTAAATTCATTTTCAATATGTTATTGCAGGGAGCAGAGCAAATTCCCCTTGGCATCTCATCATCGTTGCATCAACAAGATATATTGGCATCCACATCGTTGTCGAATCTTCCTGGAAACCTTCTCAATTTAACTGCTCAAGAAGTAGGCTGTTCAGTTGTTGCAGCAGCAAGAAAAGCTAATATTCCATCAGAAGAGGTATTGGCCTCTAAATTGGTAGTTATACCAGATGAATGCTAATAATTAGACATGCAATGCTGTACATAAATACTTGCGTTGGAATTAGGTAACATGTTGCAGTTGGTTGAGTAAATAAACCTACCAAAGAACATTGTAAAACAAATGAAATCTGGATTGACAATGGGCTTATGACAATTTCTGCTCAAACCTTTGATCCTAAGAAAAAATCCAATTAATTTTATATCACGAAGTTAGTTTTTCATGAGGCATAACTGGATGATTAATTAGAAGTTATATGCATTTTTCTCAAAAAGGTTGTTATGAGATCATATGATTGATTTCAATCATGCAACAAACATCTCTTTTTTATAGGAGTGAAAGTGAAAAACATATTTTGTCTGCTTTTTTATTGTGTGACTGTAAATTGTAGTCAATCTCACAGGATGGGAGTTATTTTAAGTTAGCCCTCTAGAACCCTATCATAGAAACATGACCTTGGTTTGTATATCATGATAATATGCCTGCAATTCCTTTAAATAAATGATTTTTCTTTATGATATTTTATTCTGTCTTTTCTTTACAATATCATGTAATTCTTTTAAGCTAACCATCTCAATAAATAGTAAAGCTGGCCTGTCCAAGCATGTTGAGACT